CTGTAATCGGCGTGTGTGGCTGGTGAATAACAACGGACAAAGTTAGCTAGCTTCCTGTGAAGTGAATTATACCTACGTCCACTCGTAATCAACTCGCTCATCGTGAACCCTCGATAAAATATCGAAGAAGTTCCAGACTAAAGGGAAGATTTTATATTGGTTGCAAGTTTGTGAAACTTGTTTATAAATCATTAATTTGTAATAACTATTTGTAGTAACTGATATTGTAAATTGTATTGTTGTGTATATATTAAAACGTATTTGTGTTATAAAAAGAAAAATGTCTAACATTCTTGTCAGCAAATATCATAAACTGGCTATATATCGGCTTTTACTTAACTACTAAATCCAAAATACAATTTAACTACTAAATTTAAATTATCAGTTAACGCAATTTTAGGCATTTTGAAATTCTAATACATAACAATACCCGTAGTGGGCATATAACAGATAGCCTTAACAAACATACAAAGCTACGTATTTCAAGCTGGCTGCATTCCTAGCTCATAATATCTGCCTGTGATATTTTTTTGTAACATCCGCCATTTGTTTACATTATGTCTTGCTTCCATAACAATGAGAAGAACTTAATGAAGACTAATAGCTGTACCAGTAGTTGACGGCTCATTTCTCTTGATTTATAATATATATATGAACTTGTTGCTTTCAGTGTAATATAAGAGTATCTAGATATTTTCAGAAACTTAAGAATAATGGAATTATATGGTGTTATAGGAAAAGCTGTGAAAATACTCCATATTTGTCCAAAAGTCTGTACCTATGCATAGAGTAACATTAGTGTTATTCCAGATTTTCTTCTAATAACTCCACTGGACTCTCTACCAATATTTTATATATGAAAAATGCAAAGTACAACTATTTTCTCTGTATTCAAAAATGTTGAATGCTTTTCATAGAAAATTGTCAATTTTTTTATTATATATGTAGTGAAACTGGTTTATACAATAAAGTAACTTTATTTTTATCATAATCTGAATACATTACGTTAGTCCATTTAAGCATCCTGACTGTAATATTGGAAAGCAACAAAAAGATATAATCTAATAAATTAGATTTAGTAATTTTAGTACTCTCTAAATGTTTATTCTTCTTAATCTACAAACAGATAAAATACATTTTAACATGATATGTTATTTCAATTGAAATATAATTTCACTAGAAGTGAGATTTAAACCCCAGCTGTTAGGGGAAGCAAACCAACCGGATACAGTTTCTCAGACCACTACGCCATTCCCTATTTTAGATTTTCCACCTGCCACTAGGCTCTTAAGACATCGTTTTTTGTCCAAGTTACTGTGTAGAGCAAGTCCCCATTATCAAAATATATTTATCAGTGATATTACAAAAAGTGCTACAGTTGCTAAACCCTAGTTCAGGTTAATATTCACCGAAAGTGTTTCGAACCTGTCCTCATTTGTTTATTATATGTTTTGCCTCTTCAACAAGAAGGAAAATAACAGTAATTTTACCTCACGCTATTCTGTTGGCAAGTATAATGAACCAAATAGGTCAGCTAAAGATACATTGATCAAGATAGTAAAGCCTACAGCTAAATAGAATACATTAAGTTGGTTGTAACATTGAAAGTACAGTTAAAACAGAAGCTCTTCCTGACATACATGTGCGGAAGCCTCAATTTATATATTCTATGCAATATTTCGTTCACGTTAAGCGAATATACAAAAGTAAAAATTCATAAAGAAACCAAACTATTTTAGTCTTCCTTTATGGTGATTGTTACATGTTCAGTGAATGTTCATTTACTTCTGGCAGGCAGTTTACACACATAAACTTTTCTACAAGTATCTGTAGATTGCTACATTTACCCTATGTTCATTTTCTGCTAATTGGGTTCATATTTTTATTGTCCTCTTGCTAAAATTTACAGCATGTAACATTGGGTAATGTAAAACCTTGTGGATAACTTTACAGAAGCAGACAAATGTATGAAAAATTCGATAATTTCAGCCACTTTGAGACAGAAAACGATTAAAATAGCAAAAAAAAAGAGAAAGGCATACATTTTTATATTTCAATTATTGTGCACAGTTTTGTGTTAGTACAAGGCTATACTTGTATAGTACTGCTTCTAGCCCATAATAACTAATTTAAATCAATGTTTATATTAGAGTATTGATGTCTTTTATGTATTTATACTTTGTCTTTAAAGCCATACAGTTGGATTTGTTACAAGTTTTGAACTATTATAAGCTACTCGTTCAAACAAAGAGCACATAGCTGACATTAAAATACATCTACAGCTATTATGATTTACCAAGGAGCTCATTGAGTATTATAAAGTACACAACGGACAGGTAGAATAGTAATGTTTCGAAGACTGTGAAGAATGCCAAGACGTTGTGTATTTAATGAACTTCAGATAGGAGAGCTTATAATACACTGCTACATTATGAGGTATTAGATAATGGATTGAGAATTTAACTCTAGAGAATAAAACTGCTAATTTCAGTTTCTGCAAATTATATTGTAAAACGTTTTTACTGTAAATACTAAAAACGACGGTTCAATGCAATGCATAAAAAACTACCAAAATACCATTTATAAAAATTTAATAAAAATTAATAACGACCCAGTTTGTCAAAAGGATGCAATTTTTCTAGGTGTTCTGCATTTCAACAGTTCTGAAGATTTAACCATTTGTTTTGATTATTAGCTGGAACTTTTTTTTAGCCATAAAACTATTCATTAACAATTTAAGGTGTTTTTTAATCATTTAACTAATAGTGGCATTTTATACTTCTTATTGTATATGTAATAATAAACATTTCATTGTTTTTAATCAGCAAGCAAGCATCGATTAATGCAGAAAGATAGAAAGATGCGCGGCCTCCTCCTAGTGATTTTTATTTCTCTTGGAAACTTAAACGCAAAGCTGGACCAAGGGCTGCCTGAGCATAGCCGTCCCTACCATCACCTCTTGGGATTTCAATGTCTGAACGAACAGTGTCGTTTAATCTTCAATGTAGGACATATACAGCCCCAAAGCTGGAGCACGCTTTTGCGGAAACGGGTCACCAACCACGAATCTTAGATTCACAGCCCGAGTACGCTAATAACTAGATGCTTCTGAAAGGAAAAACTTTAGATTATATGAAAATAATTAGTCAGTATTTTGTGGTATATTATTTCATCTTTTGTTCTGTTATTGATATGGTGTTTGGGGTTTTTTCGTTATCTTGTTAACATTCTATGGATTAAGTTATTTTGGATCTTATTTTAACATACTGAATTATTGTTGTGTTTTTCTTTCTTAAGGTTCAGATATGACTTTTGTACTGAATTCAAAAATAGTGAAACACAACAACTTTCTGAGATTGAGAAACGTTTTTAATGAAATATATCGATATTAAACGAATCTCAGAAGCTATTATTTTACAACTATACAAGATTTATGTTAACACATCGACCAAAATGTATAAATGTATTCAAACAAAGCGTAAATTCGTAGTATTTCCAAGCGTTGCAACTTACTGGATTGCAGACAGTAGTATTTCAAATCTACAGTGCTATTACAAAAAACAAAACAGATAGGATGTACGAATACTGATGTTCAAAATTTTATTTTGGTATATTATTTATATTTTAAAATTCAGTAAAATCAGAGCAAGATAAACAGAATTCAATCGTTTTAGAAAAATAATTGTCTAATAAATAGGTTTATTATATTTTAAAACAGATTTCGATTTCTCAAGCTTTAACATTTTAATAAAGTTACAACTACTTGATACTAATACTTAATATTTTTTTCAATAACAAATATGTTTTTTGTTATAGTTCACGAATTTCTTTGTGATCGAGAAACGAAAAAAAATCGTATTCTGAAGATTTATAATAAACATTTAAGGATTTTTCTGACCAGTAATAACTGACATAATACCAAGTTTTTAAATGTTTCAGTTCATTTGTATGTTATATTTAAGCACACTAAAACAGACAAATAATTTAAATCAACCAACTTTTCAGCCTTTAGTGAACGAAAGTTATCCGCCATAATATGTCTGCTTGAAGCAGCTGTGTTTAACATTTAAAGTCACACGAACATGTTCGACTTATCTCAAACACCTCCAAAACATTCGTTTGAAGGCACTCCGAAAATCTGGGCTAAATATTGTGTAAATGATTGGATTCAACATGGAATTGGTGTATCCTAGCCACAAGAACACACTAAAAAGAAATGGGCCAGGGTCACAGTCATCACACATAGGCATCATTAGGGCGATGATAAAAAATGGTAGCCAACATGCAACAAACACTCCAGTAATGATAGCTAATGTTTTGGCTGCTTTCCGTTCACGTTTCGAATCGATGCTTTCTTTTGTTGTTTTTCTTCGTTTTTTAGTTGAAAACAGTGTCACTTTGCCTGGTTTCCTTAACGACAACGCTTGATTTATAGGACCATTTTGCAACAAGGTTGTTATTCCTGAGCTGGTGTTACTTGAAGAACATGTTGTAAATGTAGTTGTTATTTCAGTCATCGGTGTGGTTCCACTTGGGATAGGTAATCTCTGAAGGGTACAATAACTTGAACTTCCGGGTTTTCGGCGGATTCGTTTCCGTGCTTCTTTGAAAATTCGCCAATAAAGAACCAACACAAGAATAAGAGGGAGATAAAACGAAGAACAGGTGGCGAAGACTTGATATGACAAATCTTGGCTAACTAAACATACTTTGTAAACAAGAACACGTTCTTCGAACTGAGGGTCCTTCCAGCCAAAGAAAGGTGCAACTGAAATTAGTAGTGCCATTGTCCAGACAGCAAATATCATAAACGCAATATGGCGGATACTCCTTTTGTGGATGTAGTCTACATTAGTCACTGCCCAATAACGGTCAGTAGCAATAGCCAAGAGATGTAATATAGAGGCCGTGCAACACAACACATCACAAGAAGTCCAAAGATCACAGAGCAGAGGACCTAAAAGCCATTCTTGGCTAATTTCGTATACAGCACCTAATGGCATCACTAAACAAGCAACCAGTAAGTCTGTTAAGGCTAACGATAAAACCAAGTAGTTACCTACTGCTCTTAAGTTCTTCTCTACCAAAATAGCAGCAATGACAAAAACGTTTCCTAAGATAGTTGCTAAGATTAGAAGAGACAAAATAAATGATACTCCAGCTAACCATAATACACTTATCACTGAATCTCCAGAGCACAAAGAAGTCGAAGTGTTTCCTGACGTCCCATTTATTCCACAATCAGAACTATTAAATGCAATCTCATCTAAGACAACTGAAAATATTTCCGAATAATTCTGGACTGTGTGATCGGGTGATATTTCAAAGTCTTCTAACACGGGACTTTTATGGATGACTTCTGACATGGTGTTTAGCATGATGATAAACCTATGTAAAATAAAAGAAATAACATGATCAGATTATTAAATTATCGATGAAAACGACCCGATTAAAAACACGTGTACATAGTTAGAATGTTTTTTATTCTACACTTACTTAAAGTAAAAATTATATTAAAACTTACTGTACATATAACTTGCAGTAGTTGTTTACAATTCACAATACATTTTTGTACAAAACACGCAATGTGTCAGGTCAAAATCTTCACTTCCATTTTATTTGTACCTTCTGTAGCACAAATTTATTTGTGGTGGCTTTGAGAAGTAGGATTTTGATACGGGAAAAATAATCGGATTGAAATCATTCAAGTTTTAAATGCAAACTTGACTTTATGAGGTAATTATCGTATTTGCCCGAATATAATGCACTCTTTTTTTTCCACATTATATTCGCGCACATTCAATTTTATTAGGTGTTTTACTAGAAACTACCACCGAAAATCATAAAAGAATCATTAAAGGTTTCAAAAGATGCTGCATATCCAATGCAATATATGGGATGGATGATGAAATGGTGTGGGAATCAGAAGAGAATGGAGAAAAGGTTCAAGGAAGCAAATCCGATGAATCTGAAGGTAGCAACAATTCAACAATTCAATGATGAAGATTTATGTGAAAATGAATGATTAACTTAATATATTACCAAGTATAAACTTTTCAACAAATTTTGTAAAATTGACACGTAAATAATTTTCAGTGAACGATTTCCAAAATATTCAATCCATCGAAAGTTGCTTACTGTATTTAGAAACTGTTATATTGTACAACTGATGTGTAATAAAACAAATTTTTATCAGTTTAACCTTTCAAAATTGGGTGCGTATTATATGCGGACAAATACGGTACATATTGTATGAAAATACTTGAAACATTTGAAATGATACACCCTCAAAAAGATTTAAAGAACAATACGGTACAAACATTTATAGAACAATATGGTCCAAACATGCTTCCAAATATTGTTCGGAAATCTTAAAACGTTTCTCAGTTTGATGAAAATGCTTTATTAATATTTGAAACATACTTTAAAAGTTGTTTTAACTATTAAATAACAATTTAACTAGAACAAAACATATTTGCATGGGATTTCTTATTGTTACAGAAATTTCAACATTTAAAATTTGGAGATACAAACATGGATCATAAAATCAATGACATAAATTGTACCCGTCCGCATGTCAATAGCAGAAAAATGTCAATTGCTCTGTTTATGGTAAAATGTTAAACCATTTTATTATTTAGAAATATCAATGCATACTTTTAAAAATTACAGAGAAATGTTTAGAAGTAAAGATCCACAAGATAATAGTATATGCATACTCTTGCATAATTTTTATTGACAGACTTATTTAAGAATTCAATACAAATTTTACGTGCTGATATCATCTTTTCAAGATCAGCACTTGAAATAAGTGCGAAATTATGCTTTTGAATTTCGACAAAACAGCACGTTAGTGTGGTAGGAAATTTAACGATCTAAATTCTCTGTACCTTGGAATAATTTTGATTACTTCGCAAAACATGCCTTAGATTATATTCGTTATTAAAGGGAAAAATTGTCACTCAAAAGGAAAACGTTAGACATAATACAGTTTACTACAAACTAGATGCACATTACCCAAGTATGAGCGAATATTTACGCGTCAGATACTAATAATAGAAGTTTTCATGGTAGATAATTGAGCCTGTCTGTTGAACAATTCTGATTTATAAGCCAATATTTTTTCGTATTTTTCTTAATCTTGTCGAATCATTGTTTCCTATACTTGATGCAGTTCTAAGTAGTCCCCTTGTAGATAAGCGGTGAGGACATACAACATTGGACCGTGAGCTTCGATACCCGCGGTGGATAGCCTTTTGTGTGTTTTACATTAAAAACAAATACACAAACACACTAATAAGTATCATATTTTTCACATTAAGCTAGTTAGTCAAAAGATATATTGTACGATTTTTACAATATACCGTTGAGAGCGGTTTAATTATATCTATTCGTAACTATTCGATACGTGCACTATTATATGAAAAACAACCTTACATTTGCGAGAACTATAATGTCTTGCAAATTAATATAAATAACAAAATCATTGTAAGTCTGCTATAAAATATAGTTGCTCAGTATGTGAAGTATAATATAGGCTAGGCCCGTTAAACTATGTAATAAAGGCTAATATCTTTGAAAAGGTAAACACATATGGGCTTATATATATGTGTGTGTGTGTAATTTAATAGCCCCTATGTACTCTCTGTTTAGAAATACCTTCTTTACTCAACTTTGATATTTGCTTCTTGGTTTCTGACATGTTTACTTAAAACTACCAGCCATGAATTATCAATATATATCTAATCTTTCATTTCAAAAATGTTGGTGAACGAAATAGGAGAGTTCAAAAAAAAGATCAAATAACTTGAAATAAAACTTGAAGAAACATACGACTTAGGACACTTGAAGTATGAGCTATTTTGTAAAGATAGAAAAAGCCAAAGGCGGATCAATAAGCTAGAACAAATGTTGCTTGAGGATACTATAGACTTGTTGGATGTGTGTAACTTCTTCAATATCATGCACATATATGACCCCCTCTAGAGTAAATAAAATATATAAAATACACTATATAACCTCTGTTTTAGAGTTCAAAAGTGCGAGATTAGATAAATGTTTTGAAAAATAGGCTGCAATAAAATGAACAGTTTTATATATAATTAAAAAATTATAATTGTGGCGCATTAACTTGAAAATTTTAGTAATACATGCACGAATAATTGTTTTACTTTGAACTTCTTGTAATCTAAGAATATATTTATCTACGAAGTGTTCCAAACAATTATTTCCAAAACATTCATGTTGATACGACATGTAATAAACAAGATATAAATAATTAATTACTTCACACCGCATGCGTTTTTATATCTATTTGTAATATATTAAACAGTCTGGCTGTCGAATAACTCAGAAGAATACATTAGTAGCTTGAGTGCTCCAAAATCCTGTATCAGTATATGTTCAGTGTGATAAGTTAGACAATTAGAAACACCATAACTTACAGATAACTACTACATTAATACTAGCCTTGTTTATTCGATTCCTTCAAGTATAAGCTCCTACCGACCAATATCTTAAGTGTATGTAAGCGCATACTTGTTAAGCGTCTACACTGATCTCTTACAGACCATAGCCTACTACGAAATACACAGGATGAATTTCGTCGCCTCCTTTCTACGTAGAATCAATCCACTGCCTCTCAGGTACCATAACCAATCATTTTAATATAAACCGACTATTTTGCATCGTACTCTTCCATTATTAAAATACTTTTTATTCCGACTGGCATCGTGGATTGATTTTGAAGCTGCGTTTTATGTCTATATAATTTTACTTTCCATGTTACATGCTTATCTAAGATGACACCCAAATATTTATCTGCGTAAGATAGTTGTATGTGAAGACAGACTATTTGAACATTAAAGAGACCAGGATTTCGACATGGTCGATACCTCCAATCACTTGTACCAAATATAAAAGTTTTGGTCTTATGCGTATCAAATGTAAAACAACGGTATCTGAACCAAACAAGCTTAAGGAAGCAATTAACTGCTATTTGTAAAGACTTGTTTTAAATGACAATTGTCCAGAAAGTACCCACTATGGTAGTATTGTCAGTATACAGAAAAACCTGAATATAACATGAAGGCCGTGAAACAAATGCATGGGGGGCAAAGGGTCTTGAGAAGGTGCCTTCTATAGAGATGACTGACTGACGATTCATAAGGGATGAATTAATGTAATTCACCTTGTAACACTCAAGGTCACGGTCACACAACGACTCAGCCGTCTGTGTTGTCTGACTGAAACCATGAAACCACTCGAAGTTTGAGCCCATCATTTCTCCTCTATTCTTATCAAGCTTTTATTTGTAATTACATTACCTATTGTCATACTTTATGGATATATGCCTCTTACTTTTTATATAAAACATTTTTCATCATCTTCAGAAGCTTCCTATCAAATATATTACAGCTGCCTACACACTCACAATGTCATCCTTGACAACTTGATAACTCTCCAGTTCATTATCCACCCAAACAGCTTCCTCCAGCTGACCATTTCTTCCAAATATGTGTAATCTTTCTTCTGGATGGTGATCCTAGACATGTTGCTTCCCCTGTGAAAAACTTGACTCCGTATAGTCATCTACTAGAAGATCATTTTCTTCTCATATCTCAGTAACCTTCACAACTTTATACCATTTAATTTCCATTTCGAATTATTTTCAGTACTTTAGAATATACATCTGCTCATCCATTATCCATAGTCATTAAACTCTGAACTTTACCTCATGGCCGAAGAAAGGATGTAGCTTTCTGCTCATTAAACCCTGAACTTTACCTCATGGCCGAAGAAAGGATGTAGCTTTCTGCTGGCCCACCAACGTCTGGGGCTGAAATGAAATGGCAGAGGAAAAAATCGATTTGCATTTGTCCAGGGTTATTGATGAGGTGTGGAATATCCCCCGAAATAAGTACAGCTTAATAGCAAGTGGTGAATCAAATGATAGATTTAGCTTCACATTTATTTAAAAATAATCACGATACTGGGAGAATTTTACATCTGTAAATGTGATAGTGAAAGAATTAAAGCAATATCCAACGAATCTTGTAATTTGTTTCACTATTTAGTTTTTTTTGTATAAGAATAAATTCCTCACTCGAGTTTCGCGTCATTATATAGTGTTTTTCTTTATGATGAATATTTAACCATGAATAAGTACATATTCAGTAATTCCAAAAGCTCCAAAACTAACCTTTTTATTCATGTGAACTGCTTATTCTTTGTTTTTAGATAAATTTTGATTAACTACGTAGTATACATACAGCGTGTTTTTGATGTGGTCTGTTTTGTCTTGACAAATTATAATTATAATAGCTACAAGTATAATATGAAAATCTTAATTGTATAATTAACAATA